TCATCATCACCACCACCACCATCATCATCATCATCACCATCACCATTGTCATTATCATCATCATCATCACCATCATCAGCATCATCAACGCCATCACTCTTCGCCTCATCGTCCCCGTCGTCTTCGTCGTTGCCTCCTCCTCTTCCTGCTCCTCCTCACCCGCGGGCTCCTTAGGGCTGTTTTCAAACCTCCTCCCCTTGTCCGCTCGGATTTCCCTCTCCTGCCCCTCCGTGTTCTCGCCGTCCTCATCCCCGCGTTCCACAGGTGGGCCCAACGAGCTGCAGACTCACGTATGCCGGACGACTTGTGAATCCAAGTGGGCCCCTCAAGGCCGCCTCGAAGGATCCGAAAGGGCCATGGTTGTGCACGTGTGCCTCTGAGCCCGACCGAACAACATACAACGTTCCCGCAACTGGCTGGGAAAAGCACCTTTGAGTGATGTCCGGGCGAGGCGAGGCGAGGAAAGGAGCGTCGTGTCTGGCCGGGAAGACCGACCCGCGGGGGGCAAGGCGCAGGGGCCGCAGTCCTCGCAAGCCGTTCCTATGCACGACGTCGTACTCAAATGACCTCCAGTCCCTGGGGAACTTGTACCACGTGTCTTGAATCCCCTTCGACGATAAGGCCTTTTGTCTATCATCAGGCCAACGAGCTCTAGGTCCTCCTTGGGACCTCAGCGCGCACTGAGGCTCCCATTCTGCAGCAATTCTTGGCCACGCATTCGATGACGATCGTTGCGCCTTTTGCGCCCATGCCAATATCATCCTCCTTTGTGCCACGCCCCAAATGTCAATGCTCAACTCGGCCATCTTCGATTCCGTCTTTCTGAATGATGTCCGGACGGCAGGCTGAACAATCGGCGCGGGGATCTGGCTTCTCCGCTCCATTCCGTGTTGTGGAATTGGTGCTGCGCTGGGGGGAGTCATGCATCAACCATAGCATCGCCGAGAACTGTCAGCGATCCCGGATGGGACCCCCAGGAGTTTCTAGCGATGACAGTCGGTCTCGATATTCTCTTGGAGGCAATTGCCAACATAATTGTGGGCGATTTGTGAACTCTGCATGCCGTCCGTATACAATACAAATATATGTACGTATTTTTACTGGCGTGGTTCCCAACCAGTAGTTCCTAGCATACTAGGTGATGCAGTCTGCGTCTTGCAAGCTATGCGGTGCAGGCTGCGTGGTGTAAGCTATGTGGTGCAAATGATATGATGTAGGCTATGTGGTGCAATCTACGTGGTGCAATTAATCTTGACCGTCTTGAAACTGTCCTCTCCACTGCTCGTGCAAACATCCCACCCTCCCACCAACAACTTGGTCGCAAGACCTCTTCAGACAAGACCGTGACGGTAGGTACCACATGGCACTTGGCCGCGACACCGACGCCGACGACGACAGCGACATCGACGACGACAGCGCCGCCGACACCGACTGCGACGACACCGACGACGTCTCCAATGTTTTCGACGACGACAACGACGACGACGACACCGACGACGACGACGACAACGACGCCGACGACGACGACGAAGACGACGACGACGTCGCCAACGGAGACGACGACGAGGGAGGAGAAAAAACGACGACGGCGACAACGACGACAACGACGATGGAGGAGGGAAGACGGCGACGACGCCAACGACGAAGAAGGAGGAAGGACGGCGACGCCGACGACGACAACGACGAGGGAGGAGGGAAGACGACGACGACGACAACGACGACGAAGACGACGACGACGGCGACAACGACGACGGAAGCGACGACGACGCCAAGACGACGACGACGACGACGACGACGAGGAAAGACAGAAGACGACGACGGCGACGACGACGACGACGACGACGACGAGGGAGGAGGGAGGACGACGACGACGACGACGACGCAAGAGCGCGCGCGCACACTTTTGTTGAAAACCCGTGTTGCGAAACCTTGTGTTTTTGTAGGTTTTTTGGACGCACGATTTCGAAATCCTTCCGAAACCGAAGGTTTTTGAAGGATTTCGGCATACGCCCGCGACGACGCGCGCGTCTGCACTTCGTCCCATCTTTTGTAAGAGGATTCTCGCGACGGCACACGCGCAAGGGCGTTCGACAGATTTCGACATGCGCGCGCGCGAAGCCCGTTTGGTAGAATTTCGCGAAAATCTTGGAAAACCTATGGTTTTCTTCAGATTTCGCAAGAGCTCGCGCATAAGCTTTTTTAGCACATCAGTGTTGCGAAACCATGTGTTTTTGTATGTTTTTTGGGAATGCAATTTTGAAATCTCTCTGGAACCGAAGGTTTTTGAAGGATTTCGGCATGCGCGCGCGACGACGCGCGCGTGTGCATTTCGTCAATTTTTTTGCAAGGGATTCGTGAAAAAGTGCTATGTTAGAACAAAAAATGTCACCACATAGTGTTTTTTACAAGGGAACCTCAGGGAGGGGGGAAGCCGGCCTGCCTGGGGTGGTATGATTTCATATTTAGGATGGACGAGTGTATATATATATGTGTATATATA